TTCCGGTATATCACGAAGCAGTGTTCATCGAATTGTAAAGGCCCACAAATTTTATCCATATAAATTTAAATTGGTACACGAATTAAACGAAGATGATCCCGATCGTCGGCTTGAATTCTGTGAGATTTTTAGTGAACAATTAAACGGTAATGCCAATCTATTGTACAATACGTGTTTTTCTGATGAATCGACATTTCAGTTAAATGGGGAGGTAAACAGGCACAATTGTAGGTATTGGAGTGAAACCAATCCACATTTGTTCATGGAAATTCATACCCAAAGGCCTCAGAAGTTAAATGTTTGGGCTGGCATCTTAAGGGATCACATTGTCGGGCCGTTTTTTATTCCTGACAATTCTAATGGCGAAAGGTACCTCGATGTCTTAGAAAATAACATCGACCAAATGATTACCCAAATCCTCGAGGAAGACGATAATCTTTTAGAGTACGAACTGTTTTTTCAACAGGATGGGGCACCCCCACATTTTGCTATAGCAGTCCGTCAATTTTTGGATAATCGGTTTCCTGAGCAATGGCTTGGAAGAAGAGGTCCGATTTAACTCCCTTGGATTTCTTTCTGTGGGGACATTTGAAATCGAAGGTATTTGCAAACAAAATCCGCATCTCTGGAAGAGTTACGTGAAAGAATTGTTCGAGAATGCCGTTTATTGACTCCAGATGTGTTCAGAAATGTTCGTACAGAATTTAAAGACAGATTATACTACTGTATGGAAGTCGGTGGGGGTCATTTTGAACAATACATACGATAATTTAAAATGCTTCTTTTATTTTTATTTCCCGAACCTAAAATAATGAAACAATTATTTCTCAGGAACGAATCGATAAAAGTTTAAAAAAAATACACAGTTATGTAGAGAATTGAAAGACCTTTCAAAAACTATATCACTCGATTCCCTTTGCCATTTGAATTTCTTTGAGGGGGTGGCCGTGTAGGGTAGAGGGATGATGATAGGTATACAAGTATTATATTAAAATATGTCCCCCTTGAAAACAAGGTCGACGTGTTTCACCAATTTTTCAAAAAAAATTTATCTCCAAAGTTATTTAGAGTGTCTACTTTTGGTTGGGACACTGTATATAAAATTATACGTACTGGCAGTTTCTCCCCAGTTATCTTAGCAACACGAAAGCGTTCAGTTATTTTCATGGTGGTGTTTGGTTTGGTTCTTGCATAAAGCACTCTTAGCAATGGCGCAATACATATATAAAATTATATGTACTGGCAGTTTCTCCCCAGTTAACTTAGCAACACGAAAGCGTTCGGTTATTTTCATGGTGGTGTTTGGTTTGGTTCTCGCATAAAGCGCTCTTAGCAATGGCGCAATCACTACCGTTTGTGCATAACCTATAAAAAATGATTAAAAACTACGATAACCTTACAACAGATGGGTCACATACGCTGTGCAGTTCATGCAATCGACGTTACGTATTTCATACACGCCGTGATTGGAAAGACATTTAAATTGGGCTATCCATCGACGATATTTCCGGTGTAGTTATTTGCGTGTCATATTGTGTACATGTAGTCTGTCTTGGAACGTAGTCGACAATGCTGAGTTTAGAGGTTTCTTTGAGAAATACGTACTAGGTTTTCCTTTACCAGTAGCTATATATTGCGTAAAACATCTACAAAGTACAAACCACAGCATACTATAGAAGTAATAGTGACACGTGCATTGTCCAGTGTAAGTGTTTAATAATTTAACAGTCATGAATGCAGAACGAAAGTTAGTTGTGACCATGTATTTATGCTAATGCGATGGAAGACTTCAATTATTCTGAATAATATATTGTATCAAGCGGTATGTATTTCATTATTCATTTTATACTTTTGCTTTTATCTGTCTACGTATGTCTTTCTGTCAACCATGAGACAGTAGTAGCTACCGGTCCTGAACTATGATCTAGTTTCCTTTCTTTGATTATAATCGATAATTTTTACTTCTTGTTTACATCGATTTAATTTTAGGAATTATTTGAAATAATTTTAAGTATAAAAATGTACGATGCCTAGTTATAGTTGAACTTTTCTATTTGAATTGCAGTTAATTTAAAAATTCCAAGAAAAATATTTTAGTAAGTAAATTATCAATCGAAAATGATAAATATTGTATGTTTTTCTTATTTCCTATATTTCCTAGTTAACATATGGGTTAAAAGTGTAATTTTCCCAAAAAAAAAAAAAAACGAAACTGGTGGCCACCCTAGATATGATAGGTCAGCAGAAACAATTGTTTACTTATTTTCTTTTGAAGCTATGACCAGCATTAGTCTCTGCTATGACTATGATCAAATAACGAAACTACGAAAAGATAACGTTAGATACGCTAACTATAATAATTTAAGATTTTCAGACATTAATTACGTATTAGTTGTTGAATTACGAAACAATTGCAAGAAGTAACAAATTCATAAACATACATAGCTAAAACAGTTGACAGTCACAACATCCTTTACATAGTCAAAGTGTACACCGTATGCCATTTCTTTAATATATTTGAATGTATGAAATATAATATACACCGTGATTAAAAATAGTGCAAAATGAAATTGCGTATCAAGTAGTCTATGACTTTTTGTGTTAATGTTGTCAAGGAGCTTACGTTATTTGGTAGAAGTAAAATATCGTTGCAGCAAGAATAAGCGCAATAAATGATTTAAACAAAACTGGCTCAATAATTGTTCTTGCCTAAAGGCGTTTTAAAAGAGAACAGGCAGACAACCGCCTCATAGAAATTTAATTCGAAAATGGGTAAAGAAATTGTCAGAGACTGCAAGTTTAAATAAACAAAAGTCAAGTGGACGAAGGAAATCCAAAGAAGTCAGTTCAATGGTGTGTTGCCGAACTTGATATTCCATATTCTACATTTCAGAAAATTCTTTGTAAAGACGTGAAAATGAGAGTATATAAAATTCAAGTTTTACCTCATCTTCGTCAAACAGATTAGGCAAAAAGAATGGGCGCTCCTAGAGGTTTTTTCAACGATTAGAAACAGATTCTATTTCTGCTTCTCTGCTCCTTGGCTGACGATGCAACATTTCACAACTCCGGACGAATTAATAAACATAATTGTAAAATTTAGGGAGAGCATAATCCGTATGAAATTTTTTAACACCAAGATTCACCAAAGGTTCGCTTTATCCCAGGATCGTATTTTTTCTTCGCAAAAAAATACATTTGCTAGAACTTCGTACCTTCAAATGTTGCAGGCACCTCCCATTTCTACTAGAATTGTGCAAAAATTTTTGAATCAGACATTTCCTGGGCGATGGATAGGTAAGGATGGACCTCGCGCATGGCCACCAAATTCACCAGATATAACCTCACTAGATTTTTTCTGTGGAGATATCTAAAAGCAATTGTGTATCGAAAAAAACAAAACGAAATCTAGACGACGTTAGACAAGAATTCGAGATGCAGCTGCTCCAGATACCTCAGTCATGTTACGAAATATCTTTGACAAATTCAAGCGGCGAATTCAATTAGTAATTATTAATAATTGAGGCCATCTAGAAAAATTTTAAACATGAGCGTAATTAACTTTGTTCTGTAAGGTTTTATTTCATATTAAAAGTTCGTTCGATATTGTTTGAAATCTAAATATCTAAATAAATTTCATTCATTTGGTAACTGAAGTACAGGAATTACTAATATAAAAAATAATACGTAGTTTTTTTTCATTGTTCAATTTTCTTAAAATAACTACGACTTGCTACATTTACGAGGAAGCTTGATAAACTTGATATAATTCGGTTTTGGTTTGCCTTGATGATACGAGCATAATACTGATAAAACTGAATTGGGTTATACTAATTGAAACTATTGAAAGTATTAATAAAGTCTATGTTAAAGTTTTATCTGTAAAAAATCATTATAGGCACGTTAAAATTAATAATAAATTCATGTGACAATATCAGTTAAAATTCAAATACATATTTGAAACGCCACCGATGACGTCAATTGCAGTCTGCGGAGAATTTGGTTCATATTAAAAACAAAATAAACGAGGAAGATGTAATTAATTCACGAAAATCAAACGGATGAGAAAAATATATTTTACAGTAGAATCAACGGATCTTGGCGTGCAAGTCATCAACACCTGCAATTAGAAAAATTGACAAAATAATTCGTTGGCTTTGTCTGTTTTTTCTGTATGAATCTAAACAGTGTCATATCTTTTTTAAAATGAAACGCCAGTAGCAGTGATGTCATTTGACCACGCGTTGTATCGTAATTATTTCGGCGGCTTATAGATTAAGACGTGCATGCCAAGATCCATTAATTTAACTGTATCTTGAATACCACCACAATCACCCTTGGTCAAAATTGACACTTTTATCCATGATATTTATCCTTGTCTATATTTCATATCTGTTAATTTTGTAGCATTCTTGAGTTTTTCTTTTGTTTTATTTTCGCGATTATGCCTTCACTGTCTTCTTCTTCCTTTTCTTCTTAAATATGCCCTTGAGAACAGTTTTTGATATGATATGCAACTTCACTGCTAATTATATTTGTGACGTTTTAATACTTTCTCATGGTGAGTGGCAAAATTTAATCATTTAAATATGTTGTGTTCAAAATTTATGTTTCAATTTAAATATACATATAGAGGTGCAAACCTCTACCTTTATAATTTTTGGAGTGGGTTAGAACCTGTGATGTAAAGATAACACTGACGTAGTTCTCAACGAAACACCAAAACACTATATAGTGCAGGATATAGTGTTTTGGTGTTTCGTGGAAAACTACCTGTGTTACCTTAGTAATTAATCATTTTTAAAAAATTTTTAAACAATTGAATTATAAATACTGCCTCCCAAGTCACTGAAGTAGCCCCCGTAAAATCCTAGGATTTTATGTTGGGAAAAGAGAGACGAGGCCTTACAGTTTATTGTGGAATCCAAACCACATCTAGGTCATCAACAGTTCCCTCTCCCATCTTAGTCCGAAACAAATTATAAATAAAGCGTCTAACTTGCTCTAGGATGGAATCGAACCATCGACCTTTGGTACCGAGTAAATAGCCATAAGCGCTTTACCCACTGGGCTACCATACCCCTCAAAAAAATAATAATAAATAACAAAAGTAATATCTAAATAAAAGGTACAAAAAGTTACAATCCTCTCACTGTATTTAATCGGAAACTAAATAAGGTAGCAAACTTTTTTGATGCTTTATAGTAGTGCTGGGATAATTCGAATGAAAAATAATCGGTCATTCGATTATTGAAATATCTCGAAATATCTCGAATACCCTTGTCACAAGAAATCAAATGATTTAGTTCTCGAAGAATGGTGCCGCCCACAGTGGACGGAAACGCCGAAAAGCTGGCCAAAATATAAAGACATTGAGCTATTTTACTGAAATTGTGCATACAGGGGTTTTTTGTGTCGCAGATCAAGAATCCGAAGTTGAATTTTGAAAAAACAAAATGGCGGCCATGAAATCCTCCCAAAACATACCAAAAATCGCCAATTATCGCTGCATATTTACAAAACTTTGTATACAGTTTTTTTGGGTCGCTGATGAAGAATCCCATATAGAATTTCAAAAAAATTACTGTCAAAAATATATACATAGTTCAAAAATTATTATTGAATTGAAGCGAATTCATGTGTTTCATTTATTTCGGGAAAATTAGCATCTGGGGAATGGAATAAAAATGTGTAATGACTTTTTGAAAATTAATTTTATTCAATTACTATCTGAATTACATTCATCGTCCTCTTCGTCGTTTCATGAGAACGCATTCAAAAGGAGCCCACTTTATGGTGCACGAATGTGCATGCATCCGTGCATTCGCGCACAATTTGGTCAATATCTCGCAAAAGATGCAAAAAGATGCAGCCAATTTTTTATACACTTTCGAAAAAAATGTTCATTGAACACATTCCAATAAGTTTCAAGACCAACCATCACCAACCGCGTAACTTATGGCTTTTTTTGTGGAGTTTATGAATCGTTGCGTGTACAAAATTTTTTGTGGAGTTTATGAATCGTTGCATGTACAAAAATGCACTCCACTTCGATAATTATTTACTAATTATCATATAAATAAACTGATCTGATACTGAGATATTTTAATTGTACTTACTTTCTGATGCAGAATCCATTTTTATGACACAGAAAAGTGCACTTTGAGAATTTTTACGCTGCAGACAAAATTTATCCATTTTTGAAGCGTTGCGAGCTGCCGAAGTGACGAAGTAATTTCCTCTCTCAGGTAGTGAACCCGGACCGGTATTAACGGTCGTTTCTAATGCTAGGGATACCACTACAACGATTTAAAACGTTTCCGTTTCAAAAAAAATCTTCATTTTTTTTTTAATTTTGGCCAGCTTTTTGGCGTTTCCGTCCACTGTGGCGCCGATTGCTTATTGAATAATCGTCATTCGTTTCAGTAGCTTATCATTCAAATTTCGAATACGTGAATCGAGCGATGAGATACGATGCGAGTACTAGTGCAGTTGAACGCATGTTAAGCTTGTTGTTTACTTGTTTACGGTCATCGGTGGCGTTTTGGTTGTGCTGATCTGCTGAATGTAGATGGCTATTGGCTGATGCAATTCGAAGTTGGATTGTCTTGAGTACAGAACCGGTTTGAGTTACGTTAAAATTTATAATTGAGAATTGTACAGGAATAATAAGCCAACTGTCAGCCAAATCGATTATTTAATATTATGAATTATGATTTCAGTTCCCGAATGTCGCTGAGCCAAGCCATCGATGTAGATTTCTCCACTTCGAGCTTTAACCATAATTCGAATGATCACTCGATTATTAAAGGTATTTGAATCGCCGTTATTCGATTATTGAAATCATTCGATTATGCCCAGCACTAATTTATAGCATACAAAGAGTAATGATTAAACTTAAATTGCGATGCTCACTAGGAAAAGATTTTAATCAAATAAATGGAAATCCTCCTTGAAGCCGTCTGAAACCGGTTTTTGGTTATTGCCTTCTTCAGCGCGAAGTAGATACACGCAACGTCAACAAGGAGGAGCTCAGAATCATAAGCCTCTTTAAGATAATAAAGTACTAACGAGTTAATGGTAACTCCATCTACCAGTGTCAATCGCAATGCAATAAATTATAAAGACGCTCCAATACAACGATCTTTACAAATAAAATATATAATAAAAATTAAAATACCAAACTACCAAATACCTACGATTTCCATTTATTTGGTAACTTGGTATTTAAGTATAGTGAGAAAATTGTGACTTTTTGTACCTTTTATTTAGGTATTACTTTTGATATTTATTATTATTTGTCAATATTTTTAAATTCTTACCCTGGCTGTATCGAAATTTTTTGATATTTTAATTTTTATTATACCATTATTTGTAATTGAATTATAATGTAGTGTCAAAGTCATGCGTTTTACCATTTTCGGAAATTATTTGCTCAAAAATGAAAATATCTGCATGTTTTGCTTAGCATGAAATTGGTCAATCATTTAATTCAGTGTATCGTCGTCAATCTCATAAAGTGACGTGTCTAAGTTTTTCTAATTTGACGGAAATCAGTTTAAATTTTAATCCAATATTTGCCTTAACAATTTTTTTTACGATAAATATAAATAATAATTTTTTGTATTTAAAATAGTATAACCTGTCTTCTTGTTTTCAATGAAAATAGTGCAAAATGTAGTACTGACCATGCAATTTTGAAAAATGAATGAGTTACGACTATTTGTGACTTTCAGACTAAAAAATTTATTTTATGGGTTTAGGTAAGAGTAATATTTAAACAAAACAAACTTTGATTCTAAAAAAAGAGAATGTATTAGTCATCGATTAAAACAAAATTAAAAACATCGCATAGTTTTATAACCGTACTTTTTGAATTAAAAATAAAAAAAAACAAAATTAAAATCTTCATACCGAGCTTTATACTAAAACACGCACACGAAAAAGGTGGTACTTAGTGATAAAATATAAGTAGTTTTTTGGGAAATGCTTTCCTGAGATCCATATTAAGTCGTTTCAAAGACAACAGCTTGTAATGTTCTTCAAGATGACTTGCCTTAAAAAATATTTCCCTGGACACTTTAAATTCCATAATGTCAATACACTTGAATGATTCTCCAGTTTCTGTAGCCTTTAGAGTTAGAATGCGTCTCTCTCGACAGTCGTAACTCGAGATACGTCTATTTGTCAGATTATGAACTTACACATTCTGAGATACGCCACTAACTAAAGCTGCTATTAATAGAAAACTATAACACATATACATAGTTGCACCACTTTGTTAGAACGTAAATCTGTAAAAATGAATTGCTTCTGTAGTAATATCTCAAAAACCATAAATTCTGAGTTACGTCACTTTGTGAGGTTGACGACGGTATGCAGGTTTAGTAACATTGTCAATAATTATAATAAAGGGCTATTTATTCGGATAAGACTAATTTTGAAACAACGAACAATTTTTTATTATAATTTCTTTAGAGGGCGTGTGTACGAGCACACTGAGCGTGTTAAAAATGCGTAATCGGATAAAACTGAACTCAAAACAGAATACCAATCTCTTATTAATGTGTAAGTATTTGTAACCAACGCTTCCAACCTGCACTTCGTTCCCGCCCATGTCGCTTGTAAAAAAATCATGTCGCATGTGAGGTAATATTGAAGATGGTGAAAACGTACATAATATCTTCGTTACATAATCTATGGGGAATCTATAACAATAACTTATATGTATATACTTCATCTTTTTAATAAACAAAAATTATTAAAGACAGTGTAGCAAGAAATTAAATTAAATTAGCAAAAATTGGAGGGGCGTTGTTGGTTTCAAAGTTGGTTTGGGTCACTGCTCCACAACAGATAAAATATGTGCACTTTAATAAAGCCATCTAACGCTCGTAAACATGAAGAAAAACTACTTATACATTCTCATCGGACAATGGGGTTCAAACAGATGTTGTGTATCTTCAGAGAATGCATATGGGAATTACTTTCCATCCGTTTATCTACTTAAGTATTTTTAAATTAAGTAATAATTGGATGTACGAATTACACGATGTGAATTAACCCTTTATCCTTGCCCAATAGAAACAATTATGTAATAAGGGGAGGTTAATGAAGGTCAATTAAATATATCCCAATAAAAATCCCCTTTATTCAACGAGTTCGTTAATAATATGCATTAAAAATGATAATCATTGGCCTCTGCTATTAATCACAAATTTTACATTGACGTGCAAAGCTAATGAGGTGGATAATTAAAAATTACGTAGTGTTTTTGAAAGCTTTCTATGGTAATTAATTAATGAATTCAAATCATTACAGGGTTGACATTTTTATAGGAATTAAAGCTTTTTGGCCTATTCACTGTGTACACTGTACAAATAAAACAGCTGATTGCACATATTACCATCGGCATCAGGTCTTTGCAATCGATTGTCGGTAACAAGTAGTGTTTTCCTAAATGCAGGATTTAATTTTAAGTAAAAAATAATCTAAATCAGCATGGGCGGGAGGCAGTAGGACGATTGCCCCCACTGGAAATTTCAAATGCAAAAACTGTCCAAAGGAAAAATTAAACAATATAAAAAAATAAAAATAGGTATAGACAATATTATTATTAATCATAAATATATAACTGCAACTCAACTTACTGTTTTATTAACAGTTGCTGCTCTTAAAGTTTTTGAAGTATTTAATTTAGTAAGTACTTAACTAAAAACAAAAGACGATTGGACCAGATTTAAATTCCATTTATCTTTGCTAACAAATTGTCACCGTGTCGTAGCACACGATGCCATTGTATTTTTCATTAAATAAGGTAATATTTTCCTGCTTATGGAAATGGCCGGTGTTCAATACTAAAAAGTGATCCTTCCTACATAAAGCTATGGACCAAATGGTATAATGTGTATCGATACTATATTTATTCTGATTGCACAAATTATCAAGACTTGTAAGACCTACAATATCTTTAGACTAACATAAATTGATGGAGAACAGTAAATGAACTAAAAATTGTTTCACTTCTGTTGTAAATATTCATACTATAAAATTCTCTAACGTGATGTAGATTGCTACGATT